GCTCAACAACGCATCAGGTACTCTGGAGTTGGCAGAGTACCTGCTTCATACCTTGGCTTTGCCACTGATGGCTTTGTAACCTTGAACCAATTACTGAACCTCTCTAGGCCTCAGTTTTCTCTTCTGCAAAATAGCAGTAACAAGAGACAGGTGAGGCTTAGATGAGACAATGCATGTAAACTCAGTACAGTGCCTGGTTCGTGTTATGAAGAGAATGAGGAAACTGCCCAGACACAGAAGTCACTTTCATTCAATCACTCATTTATTCAATAATGTTGATTTGGCACTTGTGGGAGGCCAAGTTCCTGTGCTGGACAGAGGCCTCTCTGAGGGATAAAGTGCAGCCACTGTTTTTGAGGGGCCCCAGACACACAAAGAGCCCCAGGTGTGTGTGTGTGTGCGTTATGGGAGCCTGAAGTGCAGATGGATGGGGGAGGAGAAACCTCTCAGAAAACGAGCTTGTGGGTCTGAGAAGTGGAGTCAGCCAGGAAAGCAGGCGAGGGGCAGGGCCACCAAGCAGAGGGGACAGCTTGTGAGCAAAAACAAAAGTGAGGCCAGAATGTGTGCAAGAAAACCGGAGGCAGCTCATGATTCTGGAACAAGAGGGTGAAGCAGGGAGTGGAGAGATGGGGCTAGAGCGACTGGCAGGGGCTGGATTTGGGCTGTACACTCATCCATTCAGTTAACCCATTGTACACCGTAAGCGTCTGTAGATGCAGGCAGCGGACCTTCCCCACAAGCCACGCGCGTCTATAAAAGAATTGTTTTCCCTAAGTGGCAGCCCTGACCAACTTTAAAATCATTTTTCGTGATAATTTTCTGCTGAAAATATTCAAGAACACCCGAATTGTAACATTTATTTTTATAATATTCATTGCAAATTGATTTTTAAAATTAAATTCAAAATATCATGGTGCGTGGGGATGGTTTCTGTTTGGACACGTGGTAGTTAACTGGTTAATAACGTATGGAGAGGTTGTTCTAGCCAAGCACTGTGCTAGGCTCTGGGGATAAGGCTGAGATTTAGACATTGCTCCTGCCTTCACTGGGCCCACATCCTGGCCATGTGGCTTAGGGGTCAGTGGGAGATAGACATTAACCAAGTGATTACATAAGTAACCTCTCCATCCTTGCTGCACGACAGGCATTCAGGCAGCAGGAACAGCCGGAGGCTCAGGGCTGGGGGGAGGGGGAGGGCGGAGAAGTGCCAGTTGGCTCCAGTGGGGTGAGCATGGGCAGAAAGAGGCATCCAAGGGAAGCTCGGTGGTGGTGGTGGTGGGGATTAGGCTGTGGCTGGCTCAGGAGTGTAGACTCCATATTACAGGCTGGGGAGCCACAGAAGGGCTTTGAGTAGGAGAGGGACACAGGTAGCTCTGCAGGAGAGCTGGCTGTGGCGGGACAGAGGGAGAAGTAGGAGGGGACAGGGCAGAGGCAAGCTGCAATGGTTTGGGAGGAATGGGCTAAAGCAGGGCCATGAGGGTGGAAAAGGGATGAGGGTGTGAAATCCTTAGTTACAGGAGAACCAGGTGGTATTGATACTACTTGTCATCTTTGTGGGACCCCTGAGGGCCTGGCCAGGATTCCCACAAGCCTTGGCCCACGTTGGTCAAGTGCAAAGCACTGATGGTCTGAGAGGCAGGGCACCAGGCTCCAATATGTAGACCACCCAGCTCTGGGGACTTCCCAGGGCTGGGCTGAGGGGGGCCTCAGACCTGGGGAAGCTGGGGGTGAGGAGGAAGCTGGGGAGGGGGCCAAGGCAGCATCTCATGACTCATCCACTTCCACCCAGTCAGCCCAGTGGCATCTCCGCTCCCCTGCTCCAAATTCCAATTTGGTGAGGATGCTGGAGGCTGAGTCAGCTCCGGCACGAGAGCAGCGTCCCAAGGGGTTTGCTGCTAGACACCCTGGCCTCCAACCAAAGCCAAGGCCAGGCATGGGGTTGGGAGGGTGCAGAGCCAGACTCAGGCTACAACAGCCTCAGCCGAGTGTAGCCCAGCAGGATCATGTGAGTGAGTGTGAAGAGCTCACTGTGGGTGAGGCCAGGGACTGCGCTGACCGAGGAAGTAGGGACGGGGTACAAGTCCTCGCTCTGCCTGGCTCACTGCATGGCCTGAGGGCACTCCCTTGCCCTCTGGGCTTCAATTTCCTTGACCAGATTAGTGCCAACATCTCCTTCTAAACAGGTTGTGAGTGAAATCATGCACATAGAAGTGCTTTGCAAACTGTCCAGTGCCCCCGTGACGGCCGGGGTGGTGGAGAGCTGAGATAAATGGGTTTCCAGAGCCGCGTAGGGCTGCGCAGGCTGTTCTCTGCACAAGGATGTCCGGCCCGTCCTCTGTTCACCAGACCATGTGATCTGACCTAGAGCTGCCAGGACCAAGAGGGTACCTTCCCTCACAGGCATACACACACCACCCGTGTTTATGGGAAACCACTGAGAGACGGATTCTGATTCTTGGGATGGAGGGAAGCAGGGCTGGCTTGACAGAGTCTCTCAGAGCGGTTCCCAGCCTTGGCAGCCAGGAGTATCTTATTACTGGGGGCAGTTAGGAGGGCCAAGTCAGGGCAGAGGGCCAGTCTTTCCTGGCCCTGCCTGGTCCAGCAACCACAGCAGGTAACCACTAACGGTATTTTAAAAAACACTCAAGACACAGACCCAAGCTGGGTTTTATTGAGATGCCAAGAGCAGGCACATGACAAGGTAGTGAAGGAAGGGGGGAAGGTGGTGCAGACTGTGAGGCGACAGGGAGGGGTGGACCCCATGTCCATGGCCCTGGCATCCCCTTTCTTTGCCAGGGGCTGAGTGGGTACAATCACCCCCCCCCCCCCTCCAAAAGACGGCATGCGTGGACCTGCGGGGACTCTGCTCCAGGGAGGGGCTGGAAGCACTAAGTTTTCTCTCTTGTGAGGGAGAAGATAAGACGGGGAGGGATGCAGGAAGGGAAGGTAAAACCGAGGATGAGGATGGCCAAGGAGGGCTCTCCTCCTGGGGGTCTGGCCGCAGACTGTGGTCCTGGACGGCAGAGGGGAGCAGCAGCAGAGTCTGAGGGTCCGGCCCTCAGAGAGCCAGAGCCTCCAGCTGATGGGGACTTAAGTCAGCCCTGAACAGAGGGCGGAAGTTCAAAGGGATTGACGATGCAGGCAGTTCCAGCGTGACCTAGTCCGCAGAGCTGGGGGACTTGGCCCCCTTGGGACAGGAAGGAGGAAGACAGGAGGACCCATCCCTAGCAGGGGGCGCAGAGGGTGGTCTTCCACAGGTGGCCCCACTAAGTCAGTTCCACATTATTGGCGCGGTCCAGCACACGGGAGCCACGCGCACTGCCCCCCAGCTGGAAACGGCTCTCATACAGAGTGGGGCAGAGGTGCCAACGGTTGGCCCGGTAGATGCCCAGATAGGTGTAGACGTCAGGCTTGTAGGTGAGCAGGCACTTAACGCCCGCCGCACGGATAGCTGCATCTGCCTCCAGCACACCCAAGCGGTCCGTGAAGTCGTCCGTGTAAACACAGATGACCTGGCGCCCATCCTCCTTGGCCCGTGGGCTCACTTTGGCCACCTGAAGCCGGCCCTCGACCACGGCCCGAGCAATGCCAGCCCAGGCGTGGTCCAGCTTGAAGCCAGGTGTCAGGTGCATCAGCCACTTGCCCGAGAGCACGTGGTGGGTGATGGCCAGCTGGCGAAGGGTACCCGGGGTGATGGGTCGCCCACTGGTCTGCAGTGCCTCCCAGGCTGCTTGCAGGCCCTGCACGTCGCCGGAGTTGGGGATGTAGCCCTGCCCATACGCTGCAATCCAGCCCACAGGCTCAGAGTTGGGTGAGCTGGGGTCCCCATAGCGGGTAACTTGGGACGGTGGGTACTTGGCTAACCAGGCATCCAGCTCGGAGGCAGGTGTGGTACGGGCATCAAACACCAACCAGGGGTCCATGTCAGCCGCCATGGCCTCGGCAGCCAGGTGCTCAGCAGTGAAGCCATCCTCACGGCCGCCTGGAGAGTCCTCCTCCTCCAGCTCCTCCCCTGGCTCTCCCCTGGTGTGAGGAACCGAATTAGGGCTCATAACAGATCTGCAGCTCGCTGGGCCCTCGCGGGTGCCAGGCACCGCACTAAACACTGCGTGGCCTTGGGCAAGGCTCAGTGTCCCTGGGCCTTCGTTGCCGCATGTTGACAATGGATAACAACCGTTCCCGGCCCACAGTGCTGCTGACCACTAAATGCCTGCGGTGGAAGGAGCGCTACCTAATGCTGGGCTCATGTCTCCACTCCTCTGCCTGACTTCCAGGGAAACGAAGCTCACAGAGAAGAGACTTACCCAAGGTCACACCTGTAGTGAGCGACTGGGCCGAAATGTGAATTCTGGTGGGGGAGCAAGGGCCCAGCTGCACCTCCGGGCCCCGCCGGTGACGGGCAGGCGTCCGGAACGCGGGCATTAATGCAGGGCGGCGGAGGAGCCCTCGTTCGCGCAGCACCGAGGCAGGCCCTGCGGGGCCAGGCCTTCCGGAGGGCGTTATCCGTCCACTTAAAATCAGGACACTGAGGCCCAGGGAGGCCAATGACGGGTCCGAGGCCCATGGGGCGATGCCGGGCTCGAACTCCCGCTTTTTAGAGCCCACGGGAAGGCCAGCTAGCGGCCCGCCGCGCCCCCCGCCCCCCGCATTGGCGTGCACGGCCAGAGGTAGGCCCCGGCCCGGCCTCTCCCTCCCTCCCCTCCCGCCGCCCCGCCGTCACCTTCGGCCTTCGTTGCGCTCGGCACCGGCCCAGCTCCGGGCCCCGCTCCGCTCCTGCCTGGGCTCCGCGCCGCCGCCGCCGCCGCCGCGCCCCGCCCCCGCCACGGCCGCCGCCGCCGCCGCCATCTTAGCGCTCCGCCGTCTCAACAACAACTTTATCGACAAGCGCAGCGCGGGGCGGGGCCTGCAGGGAGGGGGCGGTGCCTCCCAGGGAGGGGCGTGGCCGGTGTGACCTCGGAGGCGGGGCCATGGGAAATAGGGGCGTGGTGGGCCTGCAGGGCGTGGCTAACGTTCGCTCTTCTGGCCGGCGGACCGGCAGGAGCGGCGGTGCTGCCAAGGCCTGACGCGCACCGCCCGGGAGGCTCCGAGGGAGGGCACTGGGCCCTGAGGGCGGCGTCCCCACCGGCGGCGCTAGGACCCAGTGGGGAGCGGCGGGGGCGGAGCGGGCGGCACCAGGACCCGGGGGAACCTCGGCGGGCGGGCGGGCGGTGAGCAGGCCCCGGGCCGGGAGGCTGCGGGCGGCGGCGCTGGGCCCGGCGCGGCGAGAGGCCCGGAGATGCCGAGCAAGAAGAAGAAGTACAACGCGCGTTTCCCGCCGGTGAGCACGTGGCCGGGTTCGTGAGGAGAGGGCCCGGCTCCCGGGAGGCTCGGGCCCAGGCCCCGCTGGGGGGCGGGCGTCTCGCGGTGTTCTGGGCCCCGACGCCCCGCCCCCTTCTTACCCTCCCCACTTCGGTGCCCCCCGCCCCCTTCCTCCAGGGAGACCCCCTCGCTTCCCCCAGCGCCGTTTTCTGGTCCAGAAGCGATGGGGTCCGAGCTCTCTGCCCCCTTCCCAGGCGCGGATCAAGAAGATCATGCAGACGGACGAGGAAATTGGGAAGGTGGCGGCGGCGGTGCCCGTCATCATCTGTATCCTGTCGGGGCTGCCCGGGGCGAGGGCCGTGGGGGCGGGGGGTGGGCCTGGGGTGCTCCCGCGGGGTTCTCCTTGACGCTCCCGAGCCCGGGCCCTGGAGCTGTTCCTGGAGTCGCTGTTGAAGAAGGCCTGCCAGGTGACCCAGTCCCGGAACGCCAAGACCATGACCACATCCCACCTGTGAGTGGCCGTGCAGACGCAGGGCCCTGTGGGCTGCGGTCCCCGGAGCTCACACGCTTAAGAGAGGCTGGGTCCTCGGAGGGCCCCGGCCCGGAGGCTGCAGGCGGGAGGCTCCTGGGAGACCAGCGAGGCCGTAGAGGCCGGTGGGTTCGAACTTGGGAAAGGTGGGGTGTTACCGCGAAGGGGCGAGGTCGGCTGGTGGAGATGAAGGTGGAGGTGTTCCGGGCTCCCTTCCTCCGACATCCTGAGCTGCTGACTGCCCCTCGCCGGGAGCCCAGGCAGCCGGGCGCTGCCAGAGGCCATCCCCTCCCGCCTTTCAGGAAGCAGTGCATTGAGCTGGAGCAGCAGTTTGACTTCTTGAAGGACCTGGTGGCGTCTGTGCCTGACATGCAGGGGGATGGGGAAGACAACCACATGGACGGGGACAAGGGTGCCCGCAGGTGGGGAGCCAGGGCCAAGCGTCCAGGTGTAGAAGGCCAAGGCCACAGGGGTTGGAGGTGGGTGGGGGCTGGTGAAGGAGCGGGGAGATGGACTGTACCTCCCCACAGGGGCCGGAAGCCAGGCAGCAGCAGCCGGAAGAATGGTGGGATGGGAAGCAAAGGCAAGGACAAGAAGCTATCAGGGACAGACTCGGAGCAGGAGGTAAGGGAGGCCCTCAGCCCTCTGCCCTGCCCCTCCACGCTGGCCGAAGGCCGGACCCCATCCTCACCTGTGGCCGCTTTGTCAATGGGGGCTGTGAGGTCAGCCTCCCGCCCCTGCCGTTTCCCGGGGTCTGGGCTCTCCCGTGACGGGCCCATGCCGTTCTTGTCATCTCTGACCCCTGTCTTGCTCCCAGGATGAGTCCGAGGACACTGACACTGATGGGGAAGAGGAGACACCGCAGGCCCCACCCCAGGCCAGCCACCCCGCTGCCCACTTTCAGAGGTAAGCAGTGGCCCCAGGAAGACACCAGCGGACTTGTTCCTCCAGGCCTCTGGCCACTTGCTTGGGCTCATGGTGGCAGATTTGGGGAATGGGAAGGGAGGCACTGAGGAGGGCTTAACGACAGAGACGGTGTCTCAGAACTCCTTTCCCCTGGGCAGGGCAGTAAGTGGGGCCTGGGTCGGGGCTGAGAGACCTGTTCTGGGCCCTTCCATTTTCTGGGCTTGGCCCCCCTTTGGTACAGAGGGTGGTGGGCTCCATGCTTCCTGTGTGGGGCTCAGTGGGCACCAGAGAGTAACCTGACCTTCCTCTCCTGCTTTCTGCCCTGCAGCCCCCCAACACCTTTCACGCCCTTCACCTCGACTCTGCCTCTGCCCCCGCCCCCAGCGCCCCCGGGCCCCTCAGGACCTGATGCAGAGGACGAAGAGGATTATGACTCCTAGCACCCTCTGCCCCCCAGGCCACACCCCCTTTTAGTTGGTTTTAGTTGTTCTGGGCGGAGGAGAGACGATAGAGCTGTTCTTAAATTTATTAATAAAAATAAAAGGGAACATCAGTGTTTATCCCAGCCTCTGTGCAGGGCTTTGTGGCCACCTTCCTATCCATCCACCTGACTTCCCCACACTGAGCAGTGGTGGGCTGGGGAGGGGCTGGAGCATGCATCTGCCGGGTGCTGATAGAAGGAAGGTGGGGGGAGTGTGCTGGTCATGCCAAGGGACAACCTGTCTTACACTGTATGACCCTGGGCAGGTTCCTGCCTTTCTCTGAGCAGCCTTTTCTTTCTTTCTTTTTTTTTTTTTAAATATATTTTATTGATTTTTTACAGAGAGAAAGGGAGAGGGATAGAGAGTTAGAAACATCGATGAGAGAGAAACATCTATCAGCTGCCTCTTGCACACCCCCTACTGGGGATGTGCCCGCAACCAAGGTACATGCCCTTGACTGGAATCGAACCCGGGACCCTTCAGTCCGCAGGCCGATGCTCTATCCACTGAGCCAAACCGGTTAGGGCAGCAGCCTTTTCTTATCTCTCTGATGGAGACCATTCTGCCCATTCTGGGCTACTGCAAAGGGATAGACAGGCTGAGTAATAGGCGCTGTAGAGCTATGCCTGGTGCCATGAAGGGTGGGGGAAGGGGCGCTGGGAGCAGAGGTAGGTAGGTAGATTGGGGAGAGCCTTGAAGGCCTGCGAGCAGGACAGTGACACAGTCGCTCGGTCTGCAGTCAGTTCTGCACCCGGAGCTGCCGTGTCCCTGGGGCAGATGTGCTTTGAGGGGGCCATGGCTCGGTGAGGTGGGCAGGAGGCCTGGGAGCAGTGGGCAGACTTGACGTCTCTGTCAGCAGTGACTCAGCACCGATGGTCGCCTGGACCTGTGCTGAGAGGGTGGGGACCCTAAGGACTCTCATGTTTCTTTCTGCCGCCACTCGGGCAGGGGCCTTTTCTAGCTGGGGACACAGGAGGAAGAGCAGGGTTCGGCCTGAAGGTCACCAGTTCGGCTCTGATGAATTGGGGTGCCTGTGAGCTGCTGAGAGGTGTGGAGTGGTACTGGGTGTAGGGCCCTAGAGAGTAGGTGACCTCGCTCCATCAAAGGAGACAGGATCTGTTGGTAGTGCCCACCCCTGGGTCTGGGAGGAAGGAGAGGCCAGCTGTGGATCGCAGGACCCCTGCAGGCTGCAGGCCAGCCTCTGCCAGAGCTGCCTCGGTGGCTGGTGTGGTGCGGCAGGGAAGCGGGAGGTGAGAAGCAGGTGAGCTGAAGCAACTGCTCAGGGCTATGAAGTAGAGATGAGAGAGCAGTGGCTCAGAGGGAGGAGAAGGGAAGTTTTTGTTTGTTTTTTTAGGATGGTGGAAATGCAGGCTTGCAGTGAGGGAGGGGTGAAGGGACAGGATGGGGGAGAATTAATGGAGTGAGTGTCCAGGGGACCGCGGCCTGACAGGGAGAGTGCGGTTTAGGTAAGAGGATGGCGGGATTGAGTTTTTCCCAGAAGTGTCTGACTTGTGTGAAATGGGAGGCTGCTGGTTGGCCTGGGTAGGCCCAGGCCGCTGGAGTATGGGGGCGTGTGGCTTCTGTCTGCCTCTCATCGGCTCGCCCTCTGGGCACAGTGCCCCTGCTTTCTTTTGGGAAACCATTTCTCCTCTATTCAACCTGCGGTGTGTGTAGCATCTTCATGGGCAAAAGTGTCAAGGAGGCGCGGGTGGGGGTGAGGTGGCCAGGGGCTCATGGGTTCCGCCTTAGCAGAGTGCTTAGGAGTGGAACCTCTAGAACCAGGCCCCAAGTTCAAATCCTGGCCTCTTCACTTACTAACCTCAAACAAGTTCTGTAGCTTCTCTGTGTTCAGTTTCTTCATCTGTAAAATGGGGCTAGTTGTTAACTTTGTTAGTTACATATACTGTACTATTTATGCTGGTAGTACCTATTAGTTAGGGACAAGGGCTGATGTAACAAACTCAAAATACAGACTCAGATGCAGTGGAACTTATTTTGTGTTCATGTAAGGTTCATAGTGGGATTTATCTGATCGGTGGGTAGTACTTCTCCAAGAGGGACTTGAGGGCCCAGGCTCGCTCTATCTTGTGGCCACATAATCTTCTACCCATGACTTCCAAGGTCACTGTGAAAAGGGAAAGCTCAGACCCACGGTGGTTTTTCTAGCCCAGGACTGGGAGTGACCCTGTCACCACTTTCACCTCCCATTGGAACGGTCACACGGTTCTCTCTGGCGGAGGCTAGGACAGGTGGTCTAGCCAACCTGGGTGACTGACCAGCCAGGTTCTGGTGCAGGACCTCACGGGCAGCTGGGAAGGGCTTGACTCGCCCTCGGCCAAGTGTTAGGAGTGCAGCCTCTGCAGTCAGAGGACAGGGGCTGGGCAGACAGTGCTCCAGGCTGGGTCTGGCCTCTGAGTGCCTCCTGGGAGTGGGGAAAGATGGCTCTGCCCTGTGGGCACCACTGGGCACTGATGGGGCAGCCTGTGACTACCCCATCTGCAGAGCTCCACCTGGGAACCAGATGAATGTATTTCTTTATTCTCTATCATCGAAGAGCCAAGTCCTGTCTGAATGTCTCAGTCTGCCTCGGCTGCACGCTAGAGTGTAAGTGTGACTAGTGTGTGAAATGGGGCAGCTTCTGAGTCCAGTGTGGGAGTCAGGGGCCTTGACCGTCATGTGAAGGGTATCATCTCACTGTCCCTGCCGAGTGGAGAGCCTCCCTCCGCAGCCCATCTAAGGATTCATCCAGCAAACGTTCACTGAGCACCAACCCCATCACTCTGCAGGGAAATGGGATGCGGTCTCCCACCCAACACGATGAAGTCTGACGCCACCAAGTGCTGCAGAGGAGGTGGCGACTCCCAAACTCAAGCTGTTGGTGGGAATATCAGTTGGTGCAACCACCTTAGAAAACGGTTTCTCATTGAGTCTTAATACACGCTTTCCTGCCATGTAGCAGTGCCCCGGGCACACGTCCACCACAAGACACCAGCATGCTCATAGTCCCCAGTGGAAACCAGCCCGAATGCCCATCAGCAAGAGCACGGGTAAGTCAGTGGTAGGATGTTGCTTCACCGAACAGCAATAAAGAAGGAGCCAGGCCCTAGCCAGTTTGGCTCCGTGGATAGAGCATCGGCCCTTGGACTGAAGGATCCTGAGTTTGAGTCCAATCAAGGGCATGTACCTGGGTAGCAGACTCAATACCCAGCCCTGGTAGGGTGCCTGCGGAAGGCAACCAATCGATGTCTCTCTCTCACATCAATGTTTCTGTCTCCCCCTTCCTTCCACTCTCTCTAAAGAAATCAATGGGGGTGGGGTGTTAAGGTGGGGGGGGGGGGGAACCCTAGATGGTTTGGCTCAATGGATAGAGTCAGCCTGCAAACGGGTTCAATTCCAGTCAAGGGCACATGTCCCGGTTGCGAGCTCAATCCCCAGTAGGGGGCATGCAGGAGACAGCAGATCATTGTTTCTCATCATTGATGTTTCTATCTCTCCTCTCTGAAATCAGTAAAAACATATTTTAAAAAATCAATGGAGCCGAACCGGTTTGGCTCAGTGGATAGAGCGTCGGCCTGCGGACTGAAGGGTCCCAGGTTCGATTCCGGTCAAGGGCATGTACCTGGGTTGCGGGCACATCCCCAGTAGGAGATGTGCAGGAGGCAGCTGATCGATGTTTCTCTCTCATAGATGTTTCTGACTCTCTATCTCTCTCCCTTCCTCTCTGTAAAAAATCAATAAAAATATATTAAAAAAAATCAATGGAAAAATATCCTTGGGTGCGGATTAACAACAACAAAAAAGAACCAGTCTTACAACATCCTGGGTGAATCCTGCAGATGTTATGTTGAGCAAAAGAAGCCAAACACGAGAACACACCGTGGAGACCTTGGATGGTCTGTTTCCAGGGTGCCACCTCCCTGGCTGGCTGGCTGCCCTTGCTGTTACACCTGTCAACGATCCCTTTGCCAAAGTCCTTCCAGAAAAATAAAAAGTACACACTGAGACATGGTTCATTTACATGAAATTCAGGGACAGGTGAAACTAATTCATGGGAATAGAATTCAGTATAATAGTTACTTGAGGCTCTGACAACCAATTGATGTGTTTCACATCAAAATTTCTGTCTTTCCCTCTCCCACGCTCTCTAAAAATGGAAAAATATCCTCTGGTGAGGACTAAAATAATAATAAATGGTTACTTCTGGAAGGGGGGTTGACTAGGAGGGGGCACGAGGAGCCTTCTGGAAATGTTCTATACCTTGAACTGAGTGGTGGTTTGATAGAAAAATATATTAAGCTGCACACTTTAGATGCATGCATGTTTATGATACTCTCATAAAATTTTTAATCTATAGAGACACTTCTAGGCAGCGATGTTCTCAGGGCTTATTTCTGATGGGGGAGAGACAATAAGGAAGTTAAATAGTGTGTCGGAGGTGATACTTGTCCTGGGGAAAATAAAGCATCATAAGGGAGGAGTGGGGAGTCCCGGGCAGGACAAGTGGCCCCAGCCAGTCTATACAGGGTTTCGGGGAGACTGATAAAGTGAAGTTTAAGGAGAAAACCCCATTAAGGGAGGATTGTGGGGGCCAGAAAACTGTCTGTGGGGAGAGGGCTCCAGGGAGGGGCATTGAGGGCAAACGCCTGGAGGGTTTGATGTGATTCTATTCGGGTTTCCCTCTGGGCTCCCCTGATTCCCATCTCCTCAGGCACCACACAGGGGCCCCACGCCAGCCTCTTTTGGGCCTGCCTTGGCTGAGGGGTGTCCTGTGGCACTGGCAGCGCCTCAGGGCCCCAGAAGCCACAAGGAAAAAGGGTGGAGGGGAAGAAGGCAATAGGGTCCGAGTAGGAGGTACTCCTCCCCCACACCTGCCCCAGGGGCTGGGGAGGGGGAGGAGAGTTGAGGATGGAGTGACCTGGCCTGCCATCCACTGGCCTGGAGGTGTGAGATGGCCTGCTTCAGCACCAGTGTGACTGTGGCTTCACCACATCAGTCAGGGGGGGCTTTTGGTACCCCCTCCTGCGGGGTTTCTGGGTAGGGCGAGTGCATTGCCTTCTTCTAGGAGAGCTGTCATCGCCCCCATTTTACTGCGGCTCTGAAAGTGAGATGAGTGGTCTGAGTTTGCTCTGGCCAAGGCTGGGGAGAAGCCTGCAACCGAGGCATGGGCCCTTGACCAAAATTGATCTCGGGACCCTTTGGTCCACAGTCCGACACTCTATCCACTGAGCACACCGGCTAGGACAGTGGTTCTCAACCTAAGGGTCACGACCCCTTTGGGGGTCGAACAACCCTTTCACAGGGGTCACCTAAGACCATCGGAAAACACATATATAATTACATATTTGTGATTAATCACTGTGCTTTAATTATGTTCAATTTGTAACAATGAAATTGGGGGTCACCACAACATGAGGAACTGTATGAAAGGGTCGCGGCATTAGGAAGGTTGAGAACCACTGTACCTACACGGTGGCCTATAAGAACAGGTAAATAGTGGCCTGCATAGGGTCATATGTATTTTCTTTTTTTTTTTTTTAAATATATTTTATTGATTTTTTACAGAGAAGAAGGGAGAGGGATAGAGAGTTAGAAACATCAATGAGAGAGATCAATCAGCTGCCTCCTGCACGGCCCCCACTGGGGATGTGCCCGCAACCAAGGTACATGCCCTTGACCGGAATCGAACCTGGGACCCTTGAGTCCGCAGGCCAACGCTCTATCCACTGAGCCAAACCGGTTCGGCCATATGTATTTTCTTGATTCACTCACTCAACAAATATTTCCTGAGCACCTCCTCTGTGCCAGGCGCTGTACTGGGCTCGGTGAGAAGAGCATGGAAGAACTGGTCAACCTGCTCGCACAGGGCTTCCATGCTAGTTGGGGCGGGGGTAACGGGCAGACAGCAAACACATGCACATCCGCTTAATGTCGGACTATGGAGGAAGAGAAAACGGGTAGGGGACAGGGAAGTTCCAGGAGCAGGGAGGCGGCCAGGGCTTGGGCCATTTGAGTGAGTGAGAGAGAGAGAGAGAGAGAGAGAGAGAGAGAGTGTGTGTGTGTGTGTGTGTGTGTGTGTGTGTGTGTGTGTGGTGTTGCTCTTGTTTCCAGCCACAGATTCTCTCCCACCTCCTGCCCTGGTGTGTAGGGGGGGCTGGTTTCACTTTCCCCTGCCCTTAAGTTCTGAGTTTTGTTTCAGCCTTGTGGGTTTCCTGCCTCTGCCCACCGCCTCTGTCTGGAGTCACCTCTCATGTTACAGGAAAGCCCATCAGCTTGGGGGTGGAGGGACTGATGATGCTGTGGGCGCCTGGGCCCTCCATTCCTCCTCAGAAGGCTCCACTTCATCACCCATTTGGTCTGATCCCCCAGGGATTCACCTCGCTGCTACACCCAAGGGAACAGAGCACCCACCTGAGTGTGGGCTTTGGGGTGATACTCTGTATTTTAATTCTAGCGCACACACACCCTCCACCCATCAGCCTGGGACTTTAAACAGATAACCTGACTCTCTGTGCCTCAGTTTCCTTATTATAAATGGACATGATAACAGGGTCCTTGTAAGGGTTACCTGATACTTACAGGGATCTGTTGACCACTGATTTTGTGACAGGATCAGTTTGGCTGTGAATGGACTTAGTCCCGGGCCCCCTGTCTTTGACCTTTGGTGCGGGCAGGAGTTCTCACCCTGACCACACACTGGAAGCACTGGGAACTGTGAAGGTGACTGATACCCGAGCCCATCTCCAGAGATTCTGAGCTAACTGGCTGCGAGGCGCAGGCATTGTACAGAAAGCCTCCCAGCCAGGGTTGAGAACTACTTGGCTAGTAGAAACCATAAAACGATTCGGAATGGTGCCTTGCTCCGAAGCCTCCAGTAAATGATGCTGCTCTGTCAACACTCGTTCCATCATTTGTTGCCTGAATTATTCCAACAAACTCCTCACTGGCCACCCTGCCTCTGGCCCTGCTGTGGGGCCAGATCCATCTTTCTAGGCTCAAAGTTAATCTTGTGACTGTCCTTGTCTCCTTGAGTTTGAATCCCCTTGCCCTGTGACCTGAAGTCTTTCACATTGTTGTGCAACCACCACCACCACCACCACCATCTCCACAACTTTTCATCACCCCAAACTGAACCTCTGTCCCCATTAAACACTAACCCCCCTTCTTCTCTCTGACAGCCCCTGGCAACCATTGTTCTACTTCCTGTCTCTATGTCTTTGACTATTCCAGGTATCTTAGGTAAGTGGAATCCTAATGTATAAAAAGCCAGGGTCCATCATGACCGAAACTACTGGACGGATGACTGAACAACAGGCTGTGTGGGCTGACAAGGCCAGCAGGGGGGTGAGTGAGGGACGACCAAATGACTGAACAGCAGGCTGTGTGGGGCAACCAGGCCGGCAGGAGGGACAGTTGGGGGCGACCAGGCTGGCAGTGGGGGCAGTGAGGGGCGACCAAATGACTAAACAGTAGGCTGTGTGGGGCAACCAGGCCGGCAAGGGGGTTAGTGAGGGATGACCAAATGACTAAACAGCAGGCTGCATGGGGCTACCAGGCCGGCAGTGGGGGCAGTTAGGGGTTACCAGGCCAGCAGGGGGGCAGTTAGGGGTGACCAGGCCAGCGGGGGGGGGCAGTTGGGGGCAACTAGGTTGGCAGGAGGGGCAGTTAGGGGTGATCAGGCTGGCAGGCAGAGGCAGTTAGGGGTGATCAGGCTGGCAGGGTGGGGAGTTAGGGGCAATCAGGCAGGCAGGCAGGTGAGTAGTTAGGAGCTAGTGGTCCTGGGGGGTTCCATATTGGAGAGGGTGCAGGCTAAGCTGAGGAGACTACCCCCCCCCCATGCACAAATTTCATAAACCGGGCCTCTAGTAATATAATATTTATCTTATGCATCTGGCTCATTTTACTTAGCATAATGTCTTCAAGGTTCATCCATGTTGTAGCATGTGTCATAATTTTCTTCCTTTTTTAAAATGTGTTTTTATTGATTTCAGAGAGGAAGAGAGAGGGGAGAGAGATAGAAACATCAATGATGAGAGAGAATCATTGATCAGATGCCTCCTGCATGCCCCACACTGGGGATCAAGCTCGTAACTAGGCATGTGCCCTGACTGGGAATCGAACTGTGACCTCCTGGCTCATAGGTTGACAGCTTAACCACTGAGCCAGGCTGGCCAGGCATACTTTTCTTTATTTCTAAGGCTGAGAGATATTATATTAATGTATATAACACATTTTTTAAAAGATTGATTATTTTAGGGAGAGGGAGAGAGAACCAGTAGGTGCACGGGACAATGCCTAAGGACCG